AGCGAGTTCTTAACCATCGCGCCACTCGGCCGGCCCTATTTGATGCATTTTAATTATTTTATATAAGTTGCTAGAAGTTTACTTAGTGAAGTGTTCATATATTTTCAAACCTTTCCAAATATATTGCTGCATTGACTTTCAAAAGGAAGTATAGTTTAGTATCAGCAGTAAGTGCTGATTTCACCAGATCCTTAACACTATTATTATTAATTTTTCTTTAAAATCTTTCCTGTGCCAACTAAAACCCCTATGTTAAATTCATATACTCTTTCAGGTATATTCCGTGAATCTTTCCTCTCTAAGTGTTCATTTTCCCTTACCTCTTTCCGTTTCTAAATAACCCTTCTCTACTTCTTCTGTGCTCTATTGTTTTTTCTTTAAAGGAAACAACTTCAATTTTTAATCTTTAAAAAAATGTTTTTATCTTGGTAACATGTATAAAATGGGCCACTTTCACCATTTGTAAGAGTACAATTCAGTGGTATTAAATATACAAAGGGTGCCCCAAACATGTATACATATTTTAGGAAAGGAAAAAACTATTAAAATTGTTTTTTCAATACTCAATATATACCGATAACAAAAGGTGAATACAAGTCATGTGTATACATTTTTTTGGCATCCCTGGTATTTAAAGTGCTTTGTAATTATCACCACTATTTCCCAAACCATTTCATCATTCAAAGACTAACCTTTTTCTTTTCCCCAACCCCTGGTAACCTCTGTTCTACTTTGACACTGTGAATTTGCTTATTCTAGTGGAATCATACAATATTTGTCTTTTTGTGTCTGGCTTATTTCACTTACCATGTCTTCAAGGTTTATTCATGTTATTGCATGTATCAAAGCTTCATTCCTTTTTATGGCTATCACTTCATTATACCACATTTTGTTTATCTACATTCATCTGTTGGTAGACATTTTGGTTGGTTTCACCTTTTGGCTATTGTGAGTAATGCTACAAAGAACATTGGCATACACATATTTGTTTGAGTCCCTGTTTTCAGTTCTTTTGGATATATACCTAGGAGTTGAATTGTTGGTTCATATGATAATTTATGGTTAGCTCTTTGAGGAGCTGACCAAACTGTTTTCCACAGAGGTTTTGTCATTTTACCTATCCACCTGCACTGTACAAGAGTTTCCATTTTTCCATATCCTCATCAACACATTTTTTCACCAATCTGAAAATGACCGTGAAAGCACTGCAAGTATTGCTTTAGGGGTTACAAATTCTAGCGAGCAAATAAACTTGCAGATATGGAATCTGTGAAGTGAGCATTGACTGTATCTGGATGCAAATTATATATATAATTTATATATATATATATATATATATATATAGTTGATGTATATACACTGAATATAATAATGTAATATAAATACATATATGGTGAACACCTAGGTTTTTACATGCCTAGGTGGTTTTATGCAAGTTCAAGTGAGCATAGCTTTTAATACTGTGAAAATAATAATAGGTTTAGTTTTAAAAGGAAGGTGAAGTTTTAAAAATATATGTATGTGTTAGAATGTTTTTTAGTAGTATTGTGTAGCTTTAGCCAAAGGTTAAAGTCTTTTTGATAAGAATCTTTTTAAAATAATAAATTTTATGCAGTGCCCATCTTCATTCTATGGTACCAGTATTTTCTAGTAGCTAGCTACTCAGGTATCAGCCTTCTTAACTACAAAGCTTTAAGGCTGGTATGGAGAAAGAAAGGAGTTTTAAAAATTACTTAATTTGCAAAAAAAGACTTTTTGCTTCTTTTGAGTTTTGTCCAAAGTTTTAATCAAGGTCTTTTTCTTCAACGTGAAATTTATGTCAGGGTTAACAAACACAAAGGTCTATAGGTCTAAGTTAGGCAACCAATATAAGCAAGTAAAGCCTGCTGGGACAAGAAACTAAATTGTTAATCCTGTATTGAAGAAGACGGATTCTCAGCCTGACCAATGTGTCATGTGCCAGGTGTCACATCTTCCAGGTTTCCAAAAGGTCTGAAATCTGGATTTTTATGTAAAAGTATCCAGAATTTTAAATATTGGAAGCTAATTTTAAAACTTTTAAACACTATATGGATCATTTGCAAAAGAAAATAGGGCCATCAGAATATGATCTGTACTTTAACTGTTTAAAATGTTAAGATTGAAAACTGGTGAAATAGTTTGATAAATTATGGTATGTTCATATAGAACATTATACAACCATGAATATTCAGTAAGAACCAAGTCACGTTCAAGAAACAGATGGCAGATAGATAGAAATAACACCAAAATGTCAACTTCAATTACGTGTCAGTTTTCAACAATGTATAGATATTACTTTTATAATCAGAACAAGTTTTTGAAAATTTTATAGATATTACTTTTATAATCAGAACAAGTTGTTGAAAATCCATTTTGTGGGAAGCGTCTTACATTCTTTTACTTAAAGTTAATGTAATAAGATTCTATTATGTTCAATATATATGATTTCGTTTGCAACTTTGTTTCCAATGCAGTTATTTTCTTTTCCTTTTTAGAGATGCTAACTTTGTTTTTCTCTGACTTTGTTTTTATTCTTCTATCTGATGATTTCCAAAAGAACAACGAAACCAACTCCTCATTTAGATGGGTAAAGATTATTTTAATTTATTTTATAACCTACTTTAAATTAATATTAAAATAAGGAGCTTTTATTTAATCAGCTTTACTTGACTCCTTAGGCATCATGTTGTTTTTGGGCAAGTGATTTCTGGTCAAGAAGTTGTGAGAGAGATAGAAAACCAGAAAACAGATGCAGCTAGCAAACCATTTGCTGAGGTGCGGATACTCAGTTGTGGAGAGCTGATTCCCAAATCTAAAGGTAAGAATTACATATTTCTGATAATTCTTATGCATGTAAAACAAGCGCAGAGACTTTCTAAATAGTTGACATGATAGTCACACTAAAGTGAAAATAAATGTAAGGTTTTTATATTTTTAATACATTTTTGTGTGTTTTATCTTTATACTATGTTCATTTACCACAGAACCACTTAACTTTCTTGTTATTAATTTGCTGTAATTTGTCCTGCTACCACTTTGTTTTTTGGGTTTTTTTAAAAACTGTAGTTGTCCAAATAGCATGGATAATAAGATGACAATAGAAGAAAGAAGATGGCAGTAGAAGAAAATACCATAGACTAAGAAACTTTAGGGGAGTAAATTATTTCCCCTTGATACACTGCTTAGATTCAGAAGCATCTGGCATGGTTGAGAAACTTCATTTTTTTAGACCAGACATTTGAAGTTAACTTTATTAACATGATATTATCTGAAATGGTAAGAGCTTTCTTTTAAGTAAATATTTGTCTATATTGTATATGAAATGTGTAACTGCTACCATTTATTACAGGTACTGGGTCTGACACTCAAAAGTAATAGGATGAGATTACTTTCAAACCTATTTAGAAAGCAATAAACTGATTCTCTTTGTATTCTTCCTAGTCTAGGGACCAATAATATCAGTACTTAGTTTTTCATGGTTAACAAAGGTAAGCGTCATCTATAATCTTAACTGATCCTCACAATAACCCTATAATGTTATTTCCCCTATTCTACAGATGGAGATATATTTACCACATCAGGGAACTAGGCCTCAAACCCAAGTTTGCTGGCTCCAGATCTAGAATGCTTTCTGCTATGTGTTGCTAATTCATTAAACTCTTTAACATTCCTTTCAGAATTGCCCTAAGTAAAACATTGTATTCTCAAGTTTGAGGCATACTGATTTGCTCTATAACATTTAGAAGTATGCACATTTTGTTTTGTTTTAATTTAAAAAGACCCAAGATGGTCATAGAGAAAGCTTATGTTTAATTTTCTGTCTCTGCATTCCATTTTTATTCTAATGATTTTCTTCTGTGTCATATCAAATATGTTCCTCATAAGTCATTGCAGGAATATGCTGCAGCTCATAATGGGAATGTTTATATAACTTCTTGGTGTTCATGAGTCTGGCTATCCTTATTTACAAACTGTACGTGTAATGCATGTCTTGTGTTCATGAAGATACAGTAAAGAATGAGGTGTTGAGGATCTTACATTAAAAAAATTTTTTTTATTTGCAATTATAGTTGATAACACAATATTATATAAAGTTTCAGGTATAGAATATGGTAATTATTTATATACCTTCTACATTAAAAAACAAACAAACACTAAAAAGCAATCTGTATTAATGTTTTCAAATTTTAGACCCTGAACCTACTGATGTTTAATTCTTCAGAGTGCTGTTATACAATTGAAATATTTTAGTAAGGGTTTATTTCTTCCCACATCATCTAGGAAATCATCTTCTGTTCTCAACTACTTTTTTTCCTTGCATTTTGTAATCTTTAAAGTCTCTTGTGTTAGGATCTGTTCTCTGCTTATAAAAGTTAAGACTGCTGTGTGGTTT